TAACCTATATCCATAGTTCTCTTTTGGCCTCAGATTTCTTTAACCCATTATCGTTACTATCTTTTCTTCCACTCTCTTCAATCCCCTCCCTAAATTCCTCTTCTTTCCTCTTCCCTCCTCCTTACTTCTCTTTCTCCCTTGCCCCTTGCCTCTAGTGATCCAATGACTCTGGCCTTCTCTGCAGGGTCTCTACAGGCATAAACTGTGCTGCCCAGGCTGTAATAGTAATTATGTTCAACTTCTAGATTATCAACAGATAAATTATTAATATCCTTAAAAAAAGTCTCTATTGCTTTTAGATTCTTGCACTTAACAGCTGTTATTTTCCTTTAAGTTTTGGAAATAAAGGAATATATAAGCTACAGAATAAATAATAGTGGAGTCAATAATAATTATAATTGAGAAACCCTTGCAAATAGTCTCAGGTAGTACTATATACTTTTTTATACAACCAAGTTCATATAACTTGGTTTTTAATGAGTTATTATGATGTTAAGAAATATAAATAGCCCTGCAGTAAAATAAGTTTGAAAACTTCTTAAAGTCAGATAATTTTTATTGTGCTTTACTTTAACAAAGGTGGTTTTACTAAAACATTTAGTTTTACTAATAGAAATTAAGGTTCTACCTGCCTATATTTGATACAATATTTATTTTTAGGAAATACACTGAGTACTAAATTAAAAAGTGGGATCTTTATCAATCATTGTCTTGTTAGCAATCTTTTCAAGACTTTAAGTCCATCCAAATATTTTCTTATTGTATGGACTTGATCATTTTTTTCTTCCCAAGATCTCTTGGATTCTATCAGTTGTTTTAAAGGCTTTAGGATGAAAGTCCAAGTCTGTTTGATCTGACGCTATCTCAGTAGGGAAAATGCATCCAAGAGCTTCAGGAACTGTCTAATGGTATTTCTCATTTGTTACTCTGTGGCAGCTTTCACATTATAAAGCCATGTTGAAGTCCATTTTGTCCCAAAGGCATGTCAGCTTCTGTAAGTATTCTCTAATTTGTTCTGATCCAGGAGAACCAATGAGCAACCCTTGGAATTTCTAGCATATTTTTACATACCTTTCCTATCTGCCTGTTCCCATATTATTTCAAATACCTTGTTAAAAACTGAAAGAATAAATCTTTTATCTAATAAGCTTACCTACATATATTTTGAAAATATTCAGGCTATTGCATTTTCATTTGTTTTGATTTAGAGGTATCATATTGAAATGTTCCATATTAGTTTCGGCATTTGAATAAGTTCATTCTATCACCTTAGTTATAAAATGATTTCAAAGTTAGTTATTTAATTATTGTATTCTCATCATCATGGTTGTTTCCCTTAACTTTTTAGCAGCTTTATTGAAATATAATTCATAGACCATATAATTTACCCATTTAAAGTGTACAGTTCAGTGGTTTTTAGTATATTCACAGAGTTGTGCAACAATCACTGTAATCTAATTTTAGAACCTTTACATCCC